AGTGATGAGTTTTAGTTTTTATTTATAAATAATATTCCATATTGTTTTGTATTTTTACTTTATAATTATCAACTTTTTATGGGCTTAATAATAGATCCCACTTATTAAATATTATATTTTGCCAAAAAAGTAATGCATGTATTCATTGTAGGTATACGTTTAAATGTTAAAGAAGATAAATCATAAGTATTAATACACCAACAAACAATAATATATATGAGACATTGAGTAACGCGCAGAGATTCTCAGATAATGTAAATAATTTTTAATAAATAATTTATAAAATTATCTTATGAGTATCTTTATCATACAAAAGATATGACTTTTTAAAAAATGATATTTATTTGTGATTAAGATACACTTGCTTCAAGTAGTTTTGTCTTCTACATGGCTACTGTGCAAATAAAACTGTTATTGTGTTTCGTTAAATAATTAACAGTTATTTGTTTTAAATAAATTTAACTTTCTAATCAACTTTGCAATAATTTTGTGACTAAAATAATTGAAGCTTTAAATTTAAATTATATGAATTAAAAAAAAAAAAACAAATAATATATTCCTGCCTGAATGATAAAAAATAAATATTTTTGATCCTAACCAATAAAGATAGAAGTTGTTTTACTTACCGGCCGCGGCCTTGAGATTTTTCCCATGATGCCTCCGACTCCTTTTGTCCAAATGCCGACCCTTTAACAACATGTTTTGTTAACTTAACACAATTATTAATATAATTAACCAAATTGTTACGGATTATTATTACAACGTATGGTAGCCATATTTGCCGTCCATTTAGTCTCTGTTTAAAGACCCGGTTGTCGTTTCGTTTAGCCTTTGGCTCGCAGCCATTCTACGGCTTTGACGTCATCGTTTCATTGACAGGGATGTACATATTCAACAATTTAACGCGTACTTTTATAAACTCTTTTACTGTAATGTAAATACAAATATAAATATGACAGTATATTATTTTATTTTTTTTGGATTTAATTATTGTTACATCTTATTTTATTAATTAATAAAACAACATGCTACGCATTAATATTTTTTGAAACAACACAATGGTACACAGTCAAGGCTGTTATCAATTTTAAATGTTTACTAAAAATACTTAACAAATACAATCTTATTTTGATATATACGTATTCATATTTATAAGTATGTCGAGTTTACTGTTGAGCAGTTACATTTTACCAACAGAGGAAGTTTTTTTTTTTTATTATTGTTTTTTTTATTTACAAAAAATAAAGATTGTCACGTGTTTTTTTTTATTCACTCGCGCCATCTTGTGTCCTGTCATTCTATTAGAATTGTAAATACAGGTTTTTAAATTTCGCGGTCATTTTACTTAAACTTGGTTAATAATTAAAATTTTTTTTTATAATTTTATAGTTATTAAATTATTATGAAAAAAATTTAATAAAAAAATTTCACATTTGAAAATTGAAAAAAATTATTAATGAAAATTTTTTGTGTCTTCCGGTGGATTCCAGAATGGTTTAGATTCACAATTCAGTCCACGGGAAAATGTTTATTTAATAGATTTTTTATTTATAAATTGTTGTTGACCTTGAGTTCCCACATGCCCTTTTCATATATTTTATAAATATCATATATATAAGATATATGAAAATGTGGGTACTCAAATGAACGGTCTCGATGAGTATAAAGTCATAATGGACTTATATTTACGAAAATGTTGATAATTAACGAATAATGTATTTTGTTAACTAATGATGTTTTTAATGATATAAGCTCATTCCGATGTTACACTCATCAAGAGGTTTCATTTGAGTACCCACATGCATTTTTGATATATTTTTCATATATACATATATATATAATATATATAAATATATAAAAAATTGATGTGGGTGCTTAAATGAAAGGTCTCGATCAGTATAATGTCGAGGTGAGCTTATATCTTTAAAAATGTCAATAATTCACAAGGTACAAGGTTATTTCTTAATTATTGATATTTTCAAAGATGTAAGCTCATCCCGACGTTACTCTCTTTGAGACCTTTCATTTGAGTACCCACATGCATTTTTCATATATTTTATATATTTCATAAATATCATATATATAAGATATATAAAAAAATTCATATGGGTATTCAAATAAAAGGTCTCAATGAGTATAAAGTCATAATGGACTTATATTTACGATAATGTTGATAATTAACGAATGATAATGTATTTTGTTAACTAATGATGTTTTTAATGATATAAGCTCATTCCGATGTTACACTCATCAAGAGGTTTCATTTGAGTACCCACATGCATTTTTGATATATTTTTCATATATACATATATATAATATATATAAATATATAAAATATATGAAAAATTGATATGGGTACTCAAATGAAAGGTCTCGATGAGTGTAAGGTCGAGATGAGCTTATATCTTTAAAAATATCATTAGTTGACAAGATACAATGTAATTTCTTAATCATTGGCGTTTTTAAAGATATAAGCTCATCCCGATGTTACACTCATCGAGACCTTTCATTTGAGTACCCACATGCATTTTTCATATATTTTATTTATTTCATAAATATCATATATATAAAATATATAAAAAAATTCATGTGGGTACTCAAATGAAAGGTCTCGATGAGTATAAAACAGAATGGGCTTATATTTACGAAAATGTCAATTATTGAGAAATGCCAATAGTGGAATTCCACTTATGTTTTTTATTCGCGTATTTAACGTGCAATTAATTTAATTTTGTGTTACTAATGCAACCGAACTCTAAAAGCTTCTCCACAATTTCAAAACGTCTTTGATATGCTGTTAGTTCAATCACCTAGACAACACCATTATCAGCTTTCGCAGTTGAATTAAAAAGGTGATTTTTTATATCATTATCACATTTGCTAGATCATTTCGTCTGGATGCATTATATAATTATAAAGCCATCTATGACGTCTTCATGAATAAAGCTTTTTTCGTACCGCTATTCCAAAGAAAATTTTTATTATTTTAGTGGAAAATATGTGATAGTTACTGGTGAGTCATGGAAATGATGTCAATAGCCCTATTACAATTCAAGATTTTTCAGAGATTAAATCCATGTTGGACCTAACAATTTATTTCTGATGCTAGATAATAAATAATACATTTGCAAACTAATGTGTGCATAAATTGATCCAACAGTTTTTAAATTTCACTATGACTGTGAAAACACATTAGCTATTCAAAAAAAAGACCACACCAAAGATTTTTACATAATATTAACGCTCACGAGAATAACTATTTTAATTTGTATTAATGTATTTATTATACATATGTATAATATACCAATAATATTTGTAATACACTTGTCAATTAACATTCAATGTAATGTATTTTGGAGAGCCGCAAGGAGCTACGACTCCATAGCCTTTAAACAATAAATAATAATAATAATAATAATAATTTGCCAGTTTTTAAGGATAATAAATAAAAATTTAGGTAAATAAAAATAATCCATTTGAAAATGGGGAAATAATTCATTTTATTAGTTATTTATAATAAAGCTGTTTATATATTATTGTGCGAATGTACTCCACAATATAATATAAAGATTCAGGCACTGAATCTATTTAGTGCTTGCTTACAAGCGAATGATGTTAAAAATGACTTCTCATTTACTAATTTTATTAACAAATATTTGTTCCTTTTTGTTTGTTTGTTTGTTCTTTTGTTTAGACAGTGAATCCATCACAGAAGCATCAATATTATTATATTTAATTAGGCTACATACTTTTTATAAGTTAATTTTTTTTTTTTTGTAATAATCTTTTTTCATTAGCACAATATTATCGCGATTATCGAGTACAAAATGATTTTATAACTTTTTCATAAAGCTCAGTATAAACTGTATAAAGCATTGTTACATTACAAACCACAATTCATTTATTTTTTATAATTTTTTTTTTTTGTTATAAATTCATACGCCGACACATATCATACGATTATCACTTGTATACACGATTTTAGTATACATAAATTGTCGCACATTTATCTCGTTTTCCCCATAAAAAATTTTTTTTCGTTACTCAAATTATATTTGTATTAACGTTATTATCTAATCTTAGCGATGAATGATTACTAAATTAAAGAATATTTGTTTTTTTATATAAAGAATTGCAAAATATTAATGTGATAACTGTGATATAAAAAAAAATGTTAGAATAGTATCAATGTTTTCATAAGTATATTTATAAATTATTTGCAATTCTTGAATAAGAATTTTTTGTGTTAAATTTTTACCATCAAAGCCAACATATTAACATTATTATTATATTTAATTATTATATTTAAAACATATAAAAAATGATGAAAAACAATATTATAAGCATTTAAAAGTACATATTACAATTATTTTTTTTATACGCATCGAGCGTTATAATTCAATTTTTTTTATCGAATAGCCAACTAATAATATAGCGAAAGAACACAGCGCATTTTTGTTATTATAGGCACAAAGAGAAAAAAAAAACATAGTTTACGAATGATAACAATTTTTTATACCAATTAATAAAAACTTACTGGGGATTTTATATCGCATCCATAAGTATTCATTTAATCTTTTTTTTTTTTAATTAATTTTTTTTTTTTACTATTTTTTACTTCATATTTATTAGTATTTATTTTGAACTCTCGACTTGACGCAGTAGGCAAGACTCGGATAAAGTTAGTAAGTTTAAATTTCGATTGAGCCGCGAGAAAAATGGCACGAAGCGAAATTAAGCTCACGAGTCTTCGGCAGTTAAATTTATTATGTTCTTATAGATGTATTATTTATTATTATTATCTGTGTTTATAACGAACATATTGTTTACTTGTTATCATGAATTGTTCGCGTATAGGCTCTTCGTTTAAATATCTACCGTTGATTAATTTTATGATGTTCGACAGGGTTTTAACGTTTAACGACATAGGTATTATAATGACAGATGATATTCATTAGTATCATAAATACTTATAATTAAAAATTGATGTTAGCATTTTTTTAACCAGAGCTAGCAGTTTCATTATTAATGTTTAAGGCACTCTCATCTGATTTTTTTTCTTGATCCGCCCCATTGGTTTTGTTTTGCTTGTTTTGTCTGACCAGCTCTGCGCGCCTCTCCTTTAAAAGTGATAAAAAAAAAATTAATTAATAAACTTTCAAAATAATTTACAAAAAATACACATAATACCAAAAAATAATATCAATTAAAAACGTTCGCCAATTTATTCAATTAAAAATTATATCAATGCTTTGATTTTACTTTCAAAATTTAGTTATAAGTAAATAAATTATATTTTGAATAAATATAATTTGAATTATCTGCTCTAAATATTAAGTTTCAATTTGTTATAAAAAATTTTTTATAACAAACTCAAATTTTCAAATAAAAAACATAAAAATATAATAAAACAGTGATTGTCATAAATAATTACATCTAATAATAATAACTATTCTAATACTGAAACAAATGTAGGGTTGAAGCTTGTGCTGAGCTAAAATGAAATAAAAAATAACTGTGGAGGTATTGAACAAATAAAAAAATAATAGTGTTAAGCATTTCAATTTGTGAATTTACATGTTGGCGAATAGCTTGAAGTCGACGTTGAATCTCGCGCTGTCGATTTTCTTCCGCGATCGAGACCTTCATGTCAATTTCACGTTTTTTCGCCTCAAGCTCCCTCATGGCAATAACGTCTGCGGTTTCGCGTACTCTCGCTAGCTTCACCGTATTCTGATTATTCAGATCGACATTGCAATTATAAATTAGTCATATTTATCAGAAAAATAAATAATTATTCAATAATAAAATAAAACTTACGTGATTGCGAAGTTTCTCCTTTTGCTCTCGCTCTCGAATCTCACGACGTTCGCGAGCTTGATCTAGCTTACCCTGAATTTGAGTCTCCAAATTTTGAGCTCGCTCAGTCATCCCTTGTCTAACTCTAATAACTTGGTCCTCCTAAAAATCAATATTTCTTATTATAGCCTGCTGTTACTAAAAAAATAATTAAAGAAAAAGAAAAACAGAATATTTAATTAAAAATACTAACGTGCTCCTTAAGACGATCAAGCATTTTTTTAATATTTTCATCACGCTGTGCAGCAGCAGTCTTGAGTTTTTCTTCAACTGCAGCTCGCACTTCTCTAGTCTGCTGCTCCAGATTCAAACGGGTCTTTTCAACTGTCTCCAGCTATGACAACAAAAATATCAAACCGTATATAAATGATTTATAGAAGCAAAAAAAAAAAAAGATATTACTATACATTGGAAAAAAAAAGTCTTACATGTTCTTTTAGCTTGCTCTTGAGTTCGCTCATATGAGCTTCACGTTTCTCTTCAGAGCTGTTCATCTTAGCATCAAGTGACTCACGAGTAGCAGTCATGAACGCTGCAGTAATTTCATCCTTCTTACGCGCAGTTTCTTCTATCTTGCTCAGCTGTGCTGCCAAGCTAGCCAATTTGTGAGCTTCTAAAGAGAGTCTTCTCTCTTCAGCAGCTTTCAACTTCTCCTCGATAGCCGACTGTTGAGTTGGCGATGGCTGGGAACGTTGCGGTGATGGTGCACGCTTAGCACCAGTTGGCTCAGCCAAAATTACTTCGTAACATAATCCACCCTTTGATTGCTCTTGACACCGGATTTCAGTAGCTAGTTAAAAAAAAAAATCAATTAATTAAAATTACATAAATTAATTTATAAAAAAACAATAAGCCTTTCGGATAAATCATGCATTGTAATTTATAATAACATTTTAATCTTTGTTTTGTAAATTATTATCATCAGATAATCCAGTCAAGTATCTGGTTAATCTTATCTCTCTAATTTCTCTAATGATAACTTTTTTTTAACAACACCATCATCATCATTATTTCTTCCTTAACTCCTGTCTGTATTTCCTTCCTTCCTTCCTTCCTTCCTTATTTTCTTTTTGTTTTTCAGCCCTTATATTACGAGGGTTAATGAGAAGGAGGTTTACCCGTGCCGGCAGTCAGTCGGTGGGTTGCTATGTGCAGGGCGAAGAATATGAGTCAGCCGTGAAAACGAGAAGGATCGATCTGGCGACGGAGCGATTGTCTCTAGGCGCCGCGACGTCTAGAGTCGAGTACACGCACCCCCATCGTATCAGACCAGGCACCAGACCCTCGTCGCCACTATCGTATAGTCCTCTTCCGCTCCCTTCTTCTTTTGATATCATATACACATACATAAATGTATATGCTGGTGTATATTTTTCAGTTACTCTCGTTCTCCACATATATGTATATTATATATTAAATATATTATTTTAGTTAGCCGACTCAGAGTCTCAGCCTTGTGTCAAGGGTCATACACCTCGGTTACGTTGAGGCGCCAGTTATGCGTGACGGCTATATTAAATAAATGCAATCCTCTTATGTCTAATTATCCGTGTCAATACAATAAATAATTAAATATTTTATCATTTAAGTAAATTAAAATCGTGCGAGCTGCAATTTAATAGTGTACCCTGAAAAAATAATTCTTGACTGGAGGGTAAATTTTTTTGGTTCAAGAAAATATTAAGGAAGATTGAAAATTTCTTAAATAAACTCAAAGTTTCTTGAGCCAAGAAAATTTCTTCTTGCTCCAAAATAATTTTTGTCTTCCTTAAATTTTTTTTTGGTGCCGGAAGTTTTTTTTTTTCTGGGTACTAAAACAAATAAAATTAATTATATTATTTGTTTATTAATTACTTACTAATAAATTTAACTTTCTTTGGTTGTTTAGTACGTGCTTTTCCTTTTCCGCTTGGTTTCTTCGTCGGTAGTTTGCTTTTTTTGTGACCAGCTTAGTAACAGAATTGAAATTAAAAATTTTTTTTTTGGTCGCAGGGTTTTAAGAATTGTAAAAAAAAAAAAAATGATCAAGTAATGTCAATTTAAAGATGATATCGATTGATATTCATGTCACATGTCCGCTAAAATCAGAGCCGGTATGTGTAGCCATCTTGAGCCGCACCCTGATCCATGAAATACATCAACTGGGAGTTAAAACACGTGCGAGTAATGTCATATATGTATAAGGATAAGCAAGTTATAATCCTATAAGATCAGTTTTATCATGAGCAGTCAAGGGCAAAAAATATTTATGAGCATCAACATTTACAGAGTAACGAGAAGATAAAAATAAAAATAGTATATACATGAAAAGAGTTTTATAATTGAACGGAAATTCTTCTTTCTATCACGCGATCGGATGCTACAATCGATTCTAATCTTAATGCATAACTGAGAGGTCACGTCAATATGCATTAAAAATTTTTTAATGCAAATGTCATAGTGATTTTATAGTAAACCAGAATTATAATTAGAACAAAGTTATATAGGAAGAAAGTAATTTAATCTTGCTTCCATCTATCAACTCTCATTCTCTTCTGCTTCTTCATCGCCTACTCCTTTTATTCTTTAATCTTTTATCACAACACGGTAGATTGAATGGATTAATTGAATTTTTCTCAAGAAAATAGATACAAGAGACTATCAACGGATGCCTAGAGTAAATTGATCGAACTGCAGGTGGCCTAACGATACCGGCTACATATATATCGATCACCACCGGTTTATACTGCGGATAAAAAATATAAGAATTAATGTGCACGGTAAAAATACATATATTTACACAATAGTTGCGTGCAAATGGCCCTGATAGCAATAATTCAAGTATAATTTTGGCGATAAAATTTCAACAAATTGCCTGCTAAAATATAAGTTACAAATACATACGGAAGTCATTATAATTCCAAGTTATTTTATTATTTAAATGACCGATAAATTTTATGACAAAGACAATTTATAATTCTATCGACCGTAGTTATTAATAATGATAATAATAACAATACGGATCATTAAATTCCGTAAAACATCATGTCAAGAGACACTGATCTCTGATGAATTGACAATAAGAGCGTTAAAAAAATATTTAATCATCTATAAAATTTATCCGACACAAAGAAAAACCTGTGTGTGGGAAAATAGATTATTATAATTATTTTTTTTCCTCTTTACTTGACATTAAATGTTTCATTGCACTCACCTACAACGCTCAGAGGCGCCTTGCAGCTGTGGCAGAAGCACTGCAACACGGAATCACGTACGAGATTGATCAGCATGATTACAATAAATCCGTCTAATTACTTAATAGAATTAAACAAAAGACTTTTTCTTTTTTAGTTGAATAAATAATGTAGTCAGTTATTAAAAAACAATTAACCGGCAATAGGAATAAAAAATGATTTAGTTCCTGGGGCGGTGGCTGAATAGCAACTGATCCAAACGGTGCGCTACGACGCCGGGCGTCGCTCAATATCCACCTCCGTCCTCACTACCCTCTATATCTACTCTTTCTCTCACCCTTGATAATATTGCAGATATAGAAGGTACTAGTAGTATATACCAGTCGTTATTTAGCTTCCTTCTTTCTCTGCTATACTGAATACTTAAGTATTTGCTGTTCGACTGGCCGTCAGGCACGTGCGCATACGTATTACTTTTACGGTAGATGTGCAGAATGGTTGTGTTGAAGCTGAGGTGATAAAATAAACCCTAGACCTGTACCTCTACCCTCAATTTACACATCCAAGTACTCTGCAAGATGATTTCGATACAATGCGGGCTGTTTTATTAACCACCTCTCAATTTACTTCTAAGATTATTAGTTTTAAAAATCAAAATTCACCACGCTGAACAATCTCTCCAGAGTAAAGTTTTGATTATGTCCTTCAAATTACAAGTCTATAGATGTTGTCGACAATTTACGATGACGTAATTCTTAATAACTCGGGGGTTACTTTTATTTTTGCAGAAACGGATTACTAATCGTAAAAACCTGGAATATAACCGTCGAATAAATAATGAATTTTATTTATTAATAAGTGTAACACCGGTAAACTATTTTTTACTTTTATTGACATGAAAATATTACCCTCAATTTCACCTCTTAGTTCTCAAGTATTGACGTTTAAAATACAGCTTTAATGTAAACTCTAAGAGATTGAGTACCATATTTACAATTGTAAGAAGAATCCTTGCTTTCTATACCATCGTATTTCTATAACAAAGTAGGCCAGATTATAATAGCTAGTACAATTATTTATAGCCATAAAATCCACCGATATTTTATTATTAAAAAATATTGAATTTTTCAGCGTGCACTCAATATAAAATTTAAGTGGTTAAATTTTTTTTTTTCTATCCAATATCCTGAAGTTTAAATAAAATTTACCTAAAAAGTTTCTCTTTATCAGCAGTAAAAGTTACTAGGATATTTATTTGGTATCTGAAACTGTACTAAGAAAAGCTGGAATCTGATTTCCAGTCTATGAGAATGTTTTGATTGAAAGTAACGAGAGAAGTAGATTAAAAAAAAAACTAAGAAGCTGAACGAAAACGGCAACAAGCCAGGTATCATCAAAAGCCGATCATACTACATACATATACAGACTGCTTTAGATGTTTGTGTAGTACAAAGAAGGAAGAAATAAAAAACAAGATCGAACAAAGGTCTGAAAGACGGCTAAAAAGGTTTAGCTGGTTTTGCTTTTCCTCTCTTCCTCGTGTTTATACGGAGCTCATATAATACATTTCACACACGTGCTTGTCCTTTAGTTGGCCAATGAACGAGAGAGATATCCGTCTTTTGACGGATATGGTGCGGACTGAAATCGAGTTACCCCACGCATCATGACGACCCTATATTAGCACGTTGCTCAGCAACAACAGCTTTCGTATCATACAAAGTGAATTACAAATGCACTTCAGTATCAATGCAATTAAGTGCCATAAATCAATTTAATAGTAACAAGGTTCGCACTAAAGATTTCTCCGTTAATCTAGAATCTGCATTCTTTCATGTCTCCGTTATGGTTGTAAATTTTTAAAGAATCACTAACAGTGTTCCTGATGAAAAAACAACAATAATAACCCAACAGATGAGTCATGGGGCTTCAAGGACGACAAAAATAGCATTACATACTAATATTATTCCAGTCAAGTCCTGGATTTAATTTTGAGAACCACTGGATGTCGTTTTGCAGTCAACTTTGCTGCAGTGCTACCTCAATTGTAAAATACCGGGTGAATTTAGTTCTTGAATTCGAGGACATGACCCAAGGGCTTTGACCTTTTCAACATTCATACAATATTCTTCTTTTTTTTTTCACAATTATATCTTTTCTTTATTTACTTTCATAGATGTGAAAAACGATAATTAGTATCCCTCTTGTTTGGTTACAATATAGAATCGTTTTACTTATTATCCGTTGTACTTATAGACCCTTGACACTTCCGGCCATCGATACAGTATACGGTTGTTGATGCTTCCTCGTTAGGGTCCCATAAGCACCGATGTGAAATAGACATTCCCCAGACACACCTATCATTGTTTACAACCTCAATAGCTTATTTGTCAAGTATCATTAAAACCTCCAATTTTACAGCTCGCTCGACTTACCATTATATACTCATTTTTATCCATCATATAAGTAGATGGGTATACATATTCACGCATAATCATAAGAATTTCATTGTTATCTTAATCATTAACTATTTTTTTTTTAAATAATAAAACATACCCTCATTGATAATTGTCTCTGCAGTAGTTGCCATCTTTGATCTGAAAAAATAAAATAATTTATTAAAAATTTTATTAATTAAGATAATTAAGTTTTAATGTCAATAATAATAATAATTGAAGAGTTCAGTCATTCAAAGCCAACTTTCCCGATCCAAATTGATGGTAGACTAATTTAATTTTTATTAAATTTTAATTTTTCATTTATTAACTATTTTCACCACACTATTGTTAGTTAGCACTCATACCATCTTCGGGTGAATATATCCAATAATCAAAAAATTTATTATTTAATTTATTTAAGATTAAGCAGATATTTTTTTTATAAAAAAAAATTAACATCTTTTCTTAATCTTAATTAAATAAAAAATTTTTTAATTATTGGATATATTCACCCGAGGATGTTATGAGTCCTCATACCGACAATACTGTGGTGAAAATAATTAATAAATGAAAAATTAAAATTTAATGAAAATTAAATTAGTCTACCATCAATTTGGATCGGTAAAGTTGGCTTTGAATTACTGAACTCTTCAATTAGTGAAATCACCGATCTTCAAAAAAAAAAAAAATAGAAATAATAATAATAATAATAATAATAATAATAATCACTTTTTAAAAATCTATTTTACTATTAAAATTCTCTGTAAATAGTTATGGTTACGTATATCAACAAATAAAATTGTTTTACTTGAAGTTATCAACAATAATTAAGAATATATAATTAATGACAAATCAAACTGATAAATTCGCATTTATAAAAGTTCAAAGAATATAATCTGATATCTTAGATATAAAGACTTAACTAATATAAACAAAATTCATTGTTATTTTTATATTATCACACAAAGCAGAATGCGCTTGTCTTTATTTTGCGTCGTACTATAACACAAAGAAACATTAATTCATACGCTGGAATAAAAATGACCACAAAGAAAATTAATTAAAAAAACACATAAACTTACTTAAAAATAATTAAGTGAAAAAAATTAATTATAAGTAATTAGTTTGAAAGTAATAATATTAATTAAGGTGTTTTCTTTGTTAGACCCAGTAGTAAAAAAAAATTATCTTACCTCAGTAACTACAAACTTTGTCACCAATAATTATACTCAATAATAACAATGTTATATTCTAATACAATTATTGATAAATTAATAATATATTTAATGAATATTGGCAATGTTAAAATAATAAAAGTTTATTAAGTATAACGCACAAACACTGATCACAAGTACAACCGATGGCCAGAAGTTTGCTTATGGAGCAGCTGCCTTTTATTCTGGTGAACCAACACTCGGACAAAGGCTCCAACCCAGAGCCTCACCAGACAAACAAAATCTCTGACACATGTATACTCATTGCGAGCGGGAATTAATCCCATTGGTTGACCAGATTCAACAGCACTTTGTAATTGGCCAGTTTAAACTTCTAACTGCTATATTTTGTTTTTGTTGCACACTCATTTAATAACAACGAGATGTATGATGGTCTGGAAAGTGCTGTTGCTGAGTTGAGTCCCTCACTATACTTGTAATTTTTTACAGACTGAAACTGAAACAATAGAGACAGTTATATTATGAATTATTACTTTGATAGTTTGGCTTTTTTTTTGCTTACGTTTATTTCCATTGAACTGATAGTTTATTTCCGTTAGATATGTACTATATTTATTGGTATTATTTTATTTTATTTTATTACACTTATTTTATTTAATTGGAAAATTTTTATAACAAAGATTAACTAATTAAATTTCTTTCAGGTTACAGAAAAAATTTATGACATAACATTTAGCTGTCACTGCATAATTTTTTAATTTTCTTTAACAAACAAAATTGTTCAAAAAAATTATTTTAAAAAAATTGCATTGTTAATTTATTAAATATTTCTACATGTCAATTTTTTTTATGATACTAAAGTTAGGCGACATTTTTAATTTTTTGATTTTTTTTTTAATAATTAAATTAGAACAAAAAAAAAACATTTTTAAAAAATTGCACTTACAGTTTTTTAAAGTTTTTTTTAAATGAAATTTTTTTTTTAATTTTTTGTAATGAAAAAAAATCTTAAAAATTTTTAGATGCCCCCTAACTTAATTTTCATTTTTTTTTGCCATAATTTATTTGTTAAAAAAATTTTTTAAATTATCAAATAATTGCTAAATTAATTTTCATAAAAAATTTTCTTTGTCAAGAATTATTTGACAATCAACTTTAATATTAGAAAATTTTTCAATAAAAAAAAATAATTTTATGAACATAAAGGATAATAAAAGGTAAGGTTATGAGTTATGACTCATACATAATAAAAAATATAATGGTTTTATTTTACACTGAGGGAATAAAAATCTCAATAACTTTTAAATTTGTATCTTTAATTTTCTTTGTCTTTAATCAATTCTATACATCAGGTAAAATTAAATTTCTCTTTTTATTCAATTTATATAAAAAAAAAAAAAAAAAAAAAAACAATACCTGAACTTTTAATGATCTATAAATAATTTAAGATAATATTTGTAATTTAAATTTGTAATGCAAATAATTATTTCAGACGGCAAATAAATCGATAAATAAAATTTATGAAGCAGAAAAATAAAAATTCTGACGCAATAATTATATAGTAAAAGTTAATTATTGATAATAATGAAATAAAGTAGCCAGCAGTTGATAAAGTAGACAAAGACACAAGAATAGAGAGTGTCTCAATCATCAGTACGACCCGAGCTTTTGAGATAGAAACAACAAAAGTACAACATCGTGCTGTAGAACATAGCCTAACTTTTTATTTAAATAAGTCTTAACAAATAAATTGGTGATAATTGGATTACGTTGACTTTGCAAGTACATTCATGCATGAGTATACGAATGACAATTAGTGAGGATTTAGACATAAAATAATAATTAATAAAAATAATAGCTAACGAAAACTCGCTGAAATGGCGAGTACTGAAGAATCTAATGAAATTCATTTGAGAAATAGACTAGGAAAAAATGAGGACAGTGGTGTTGTAAATAGCTTTGGCTCAATGGACATTGGCAGAGGACATAGGTTGCGAAGTGAAACTGATAGTTTTCCAATCATTAATGAAAGGCCTGTGGACGATATTTCTATTGAATTTTTTTATACTCCTCACACATTAACATTATTATTTCTATCAATTAGTGCTGTAATCTACTTTGCCTTTGTCAGGTAATTTTATTATTTATTAACTATTATTTACTATCAATTTAAACAATAAACATCATCATTATTGTTAAATAAACTATTAGTATTATTAACAGTTTTGTATTTATTTCAACAGAGACAACCATGATGTTGATGACAATTTATGGGCTGGAATGTTATGTGTTATATTTTTTTTCCTTATAATATCAGTATTGACATTCCCAAATGGACCATTTACAAGGCCACATCCAGCTCTTTGGCGAATTGTCTTCGGCTGCAGCGTTCTCTACCTCATGTTTTTATTATTCATGCTATTTCAAAGCTACGAAACTGTCAGAAAAATACTCGTGTGGGTAGACCCAGGTCTGGCGGCATTTCATATTGATATGGACAAAGAGTATGGAGTAAACTGTTCAGATATTACCGTAGAAAAAATTTGGAATCACCTCGATATCTTTGCTGTAGCACATTTTCTCGGTTGGGTTTTTAAAGCCGTTCTTGTTCGTCATCTGGGATTACTTTGGGCCACAAGTATAATGTGGGAGTTAACAGAAATGGCATTCGCACATTTATTACCAAATTTCGTTGAATGCTGGTGGGACGCTGTTATTCTCGACGTAGCAGTATGCAATGCACTTGGTATTTGGGTTGGTCTGAAAATATGTTCAATTCTAGAGATGCGAGAATATAAATGGGTCAGTATACGTGACATTGAGAGTACATCAGGAAAATTGAAACGTGTTGTACTTCAATTTACACCGGCAAGCTGGACTTCTGTACGGTGGCTGGATCCTTACTGTACATATATGCGGTTTGTTGCTCTCTGTCAGCTAGTTATTTTCTGGCAAATTTCTGAACTCAATACCTTCTTTCTGAAACATGTTTATGAATTTCCACCGTCACATCCATTTGTCGTGAGCCGATTACTTCTTGTTGGCGTTATTGTTGCACCCTCTGTTAGGTAAGAGCTTTATTTCTTTATTATTAGTCTATCGATTTATTTGATTGAAAAGCTCATGTACTAAAGATAAAATTCATTTAATTATTTAACAGTAATTTTTTATTTGTTTTAAAACTTGGTAATAAAACTTGGCAATAAGTCAATAATCATTGAGTATTCATAGTTTTATTATTTTATTATGAATTGTCTGAATGTCTCAGCTTATCAATTAATTAAAATAAAATTTACATTTTTATTTATTACACTATTATTTGCATTGATTTAGGCAATATTATATGTATGCTACGGATCCGACATGCAAACGAGTTGGTACTCAGTGCTGGGTGTATGGTGCGATAATGGTAACCGAAGCATTACTGTGCATTCGTCATGGTGCTGAACTTTTTGAACGAACACAGGCTGTGAATATTATAGTTTGGTTACTATGTCAAACATTGATATCAGTTTTATGTGTCTACGGCTGTGTTCTTTGGCATCAATACTTTGAGGTATATACTTTTTATAATTAATTTTTAACACCAACTATATTGCGTATACTTTTTTTTATTCTAATTGTTTTATATTCAGTTACTAACTTTGCTAAAATTATTTGTGTGTTTTTCTGTGCATTTGGAACGTGTTTTTTTTTTTTTACAGAAAGGGAATAGTGCATTGACGCGGGACATAACGCCCACAACACCGGAATCATCTGGTACATAGTTTTAAAATAAATAATTTTTTTTTTGCTTCATTTTTTGTTTAAATTTGGATGCTTAAAAAAATGGTCAGTTACTGGACTAAGTTTATAAGTATTTTGAGCTTTTGTGTTATTTTTATTGAAATTTAAAAATTAATTAAAGTTTTTTTAATACTGTTGAGTTACAACAAAAAGTTTAACATTTATTTTAAATAATTTTATTTATAATATTTATGACAATTTGATTAATTTTTTATGTATAATTTCAGGAATCTTGGAAGACACTAAAAAACAATCTATGGACAATCGTGAAGACAAAAAAGAGCTGTAGAAATGAACAGACATTTTTTTTAAATAATGTAAAATAAGTAAAGGTTGATTTAATTCAAACTTTCTAGTCGTACGACCTGATCACTAAGAGCCGCGCTCAAGTTCTTAAATCTTTGCCATAAATACTAAATAATAATACATTAAAACAAAAAAAATATTAGTAATAATAATAAAAGATATAACATGTAACGTTGAGTGTAAATTAAGATGTTGATTACACTCACGATTTTGCTGTGTTGAACAAATAATCACGTGTATGATTATGCAGTTTCAATCACTACGCTTTGGTACTCGAGATTTGGAAAAACACGACATGAAAAGTTTGGAAGTAATTGTGAACCTTCCGGACAATTCCATAACTCGCCAAACGCTTTATTGTTTGTTGCAGTAGCATAAATTTGCACGCGACTTGGTAGAATCGTATTTTCATACAAAGAAATTAAAAAGTTCGGCATTGATATCTTTGTACAGTATGACTAAAAAAAATTAAACAGTATCAATAACTAGTAATTTTAAGATAATCCTAAATGTTATAAGCAAAAATTAAAATGAGTTGTAAAAGCTTTAAAATCAATCTTTTCAGAATTATTCGTAAAAATTTCTTCTAATTCTTTCTTGCAATTTTTTGGGAAAAAATAAAAGCATCTGTTTATTTATTTTATCAATAGGAAAACGCTCACTAAAAATTGTTGATGATTGAACTTTAAATTAGTTGCTAATTAATGTACATAATTAATTTATGTAGATAGATACATCATGACATGACAATCGATTGCTTTTAATCGGGCATTGAAATAATTTGCATATAAAAATAAATATATTTATGCATTAAGATATAATTAGGATTGATTTTAGAAGCTTACTGGTGTCTTCAATTATTAAAATTAAATAAAGTGAGTTAAACTATTTTTTACCTGAGCGTAAGTGAGATAAAAAAGCTGGTCGACATTTAAGTTTAACCAGGGTAATAGCTTCGCAGAAGTCGATCCAACTCTAGCCAAAGTATCGTGGGCAAGTTTAACGCCCATAGCGTCAGATAGTCGAGAATTTAGAGTCAATTGAGGCATCTAATAATATCATTTAAGATTATTTTATTAATTGATAAACATAATAAATAAACAAGTTCGATAAGTAAAGTAGTTAGTGTTTTAATGTATAATATTAGTTCAAATAATTGTTATATTACCATAAAACGAATGTGTTGATTGTGAGATGAAAGTATCATATGTATCGGCTCTTGAAAAAGCGATTGATTTTGACAATTAACATAGTCATCGTAATTTGTCTTTGTAAAGACATCATCGATAAGGGCGAATGGAGAATCACGTGTTCCATTCCAGTATTTTATTCCTGTGAATAAAAAATAATTGCAATGACTAATGATTATTACATATTTGTAAATCCTAATTTTTTTTGTTAATATTATTGTTATTTTATTCTCTCTTTAAAACCATTGTGTACTTATTTTAATTAAATTGTACAATATGTTTCTTATTTAATACATAAATAATAAGTAAATGATAAATTTTTATTTTACCATTTGGGTCGAAGCAATCAGCTATTTCACGAGCTATGAGATTTCCAACGTTTGATAAAATTAAATAGTCAAACGATTGATCATATTTTTGTATTAATGGCCAGTTAATTGCACCTAAAGGTATGAGAATTAGATTTAAACTATACAATGTTTTAGGCGTTGATTGATAAGATTTTGCAAAATATGTCCAGCTAGAAAAAATAAGTAGAGAAAATATATTAATAACATAGATATTAACTGAATAGGATTTTTTATTTGTTTTGAAAAATTTTTTTAATTTTAAAAGTATAAAAAATTATCTTTAAATTTTTTCTTTCTCAGGGAATTTATGTAATAATTTATAAAGAGAATGTTAACATAGAAAAATTTTTCATTACTTTTTATTTAAGTTACGACTAAATGTAATAATTAAAAAAATGTAAACTTACATTTGTTCTGAATTATTTGGATTGAGCTGTAAAATATTGTACATTTCACGTCTATAATTTTTTATTAAGTCTATTGTGTTGTTAAAATAATCATCCGTCAAATGTAATTTTAAACTACTGTTTAAGTAAGCAATATCTGGAATAGATAATTTTAATCCTTCTAATTTTTCAATCAATTGATTACGACCTTCCACCGCAGCCCATTCTGAATGCTCAAAATTTATTTTCAACGTGACTTTTAATTCAGTAAATACTTTTTGAATCTATCAATCAATTCAATAAATTAATTTCAAAATATTGTAATTTTAATTTAAGAAAAACAAGCGACTAAAAATTTTTTTCTATTTTTAATTCAGAAATTTTGATATTTTAGAAAAAATATCTTAGGAAAATAATTTTAGTAAGTCTAGTCAGTTATTCTTTAACAAGTTTAGCCGCTTCATTTTTTTATAAATAAATATTTCTTTACCACCGAATTTATATGATCAAGTTCATTTATTGAGAATGAAGAAATGTATAAAGATGAAGTTTCTTTTGGTAAATATTTCATAGCATTAATAAAACAGTTTTCCTCTGAGTCTTTTGATGATTTCATTTCTACTAACTGCAATATAAATGATTATTAATATAATTTTATTTTTTAAGATATTAATATTTACTTACTTCATTGTATAAATTTCTAGCGTATAGTCCAAGAATTGCGTTATTTAATTCTCGCAAATGCATTGTACTAAATTGTTCTAAAGTATTTAAAATACGAAATAGATTATCTTTAAAATATATTTGTATTTTGTCGTCAGATTTTAAAGTCATTCCAGTGGTAGTTAAAATCAATTGAGTCCAATTTAACTAAATAATAATAGTTATTATTATTATGATAAAATGTTGAATTTGAAAAAAAAAAATAATTTATTATTTAAATAAATTAATAGTAATCAAGTACTCACTAAATTCGAGTGATCTTCCAAATCACTGAGAGTTATGATATTATAATCTTTAGATTTATAAGACGCATTAATTTCACTCTCCGGCGGATAATACTAAAGCGAATAAATGTAGTAATTATTTTTAATAAAAAATAAGTTATAAATAATAATAATACTTAGAAAATATTTATCTATTTAATTTTATGATAATTATTTTATTGTTTTTGTTACCGATATCAAAGCTTTGATTATTTCATGATGTACATCAATCGATATTTCATTGATATATTCAGTTACATTATCTGAATTGTTGAATTCTTCAAAAATACCGAATTCTTTTAGCGCTCTAGTAACAGAACAACCTAACTCTCTTGTATTGTTCTGTAAAAAAAAAAAAGTTCGCAATAAAAATTGAATCCAAATGAAATAATTATTATTTTTCCTTACTTTGCAAGATTTATAATTGTTATAAAGTTTTTCTAGATCTATTTCACCAGATAAGTCATCAAGATCTTTAATACAAGGCGCTTGATCGAAATATTTTGATAAATTATCCGGTGGTTGAAGACTTAGAATAAATGTTTGAGGATTCATTTCATTTACATCAGGTACGATGTCAAAAAGTATCGGGCTAAAAATAATTTAAAAATAAATTTTGTTAAATTATTAAAATTAATAAAAATAAAAAATCTTTTTTACTTGTCATAAAGAATCATATTGGAAATTAATTGGGTCAATTGAAAATTCTTTGGCCAATCTGATGCAGTATAAAATGTCCCGATGTTCTTCAAAGTTTCTTTAGCTGAATAATTCAAACATTATCAATTTATTTTTAAAAATTTTTAATATAAAAAAATTTTATAAAATAAAAACCTTGAATAATTCTTTGACTTTTATTCAAATATTCATCATATCCTAGGCAACTATTGACATATTTTATAAAAGTAAAGTGCTCTGGATGATGCATTAACTTTTTCATTGAATCTAAAATCGAAGACGTTTTTAATTAATTAAAAAAAATTAATATAATAAGTACAATAAACCTATTTTTTATTTTCTTCATTACTTGCATAGATAAATCAACATTATTAATTTCGGGATCAGATTCCATGCCACCGCAAGCATATTCGTAAAAATCATCGCAAGGATTCGCCGAATGATTAATATAAGATAAAATTTTACTTGATAATTGTTTGCATTGCCCTGACATACATACTTGTTCTTCTTCTTTTGATTTAGATGTGGTAGTTTTCAAATCTAATTGATTTTCGTCATTCATAATACTGTTTTGCGTTGTATTAGCTGTTGGATTATTTGAAGTAAGCGATGAAAATTCCAATTCAGTAATTTCATTGGTAAATCCATATGTTTCTGATGAATCACCTGTCGTAGTTGATTTTGTTTCTTCATTTTCTGCCGAATTTGTGGTAAAATTTGTATCCAGCATATCACTCGTATAGTCAGTCTTGAAATACGCGATAGTAAGGTGAGTAAGACTGTATCCTCCTGATGTTGATGGTGATACAGTAGTATCTTCATCTAGATTATTTTCTGTACTCGATAAAATTGGAGCTTCACTGATATTAATTGAAGAATCTTCGGGAGAGTAACTTGTGCCTAAAGTTGATTTTTCATCTTCACTAATAGAAGTTTCTGTAATGTCTGAGGTGTATTCTTCACTGGTTGTTGATAAGTCTTCTGAAGAAGGTGAAAATCCTAAAAAAATGTTATTAGAAACTGATGAACTTTCAATATTATCAATAGACAGCGAACTAGTTTCTAATGTTTCTAATGAAGACGATGAAATTCCAATAGTATTATCATTAGAAGCTGTTGTAGTTTCAATATCAAGAGATGAAGAACTAAATTCTATTGGAGATGACGAAAATCCAATATTATCATTGGATACTGATGAAGATTCAACATCAACCCAAGAACTGGTTTCTGATAATTCTGATATAGATGTTTTTTCAGTTTTGTTTTCTTCTTTGGATGGACTCGTAGAAGTTGATATTTCTTCTAATCTTTCAAATTTGGACTCATTGTCAGTATGGAATTGTTCAATAGATTGCTAAAAAGATATAAAATAATTAATAAATTGAAATGATGAAAAGATTGACAATTAATCTTACTTCTTCTGCGTTATAGTCGATGTTTGAGCCTTTCCAAGGCCAAGTTGCGAGAATAATAATAACACACATCATAACGAATAAAATCATAGTAATAACACAATTTCTATAAGATTGATCATTGTTTTGAGGTGTATTAGGCTTTTGTGTCACTTGATACGACGCCGATGGCATTTTGTAGATCTAATACGGCCAAAAAGCCGTAAAATTATAATGTAAATACCTAGTAGCTGTGCAGGAAAGGTGCACAACAATACGTGACGGTAGACTAAATATTATCATAAAACGAGTTTTTAAACTTTTAAGTGGATGTGGTTTAGATAGTGACTTCCTTGCGATACTAAAATATTATCGACATAATTGTATAATTACTCTTTGAAAAATAAAATACAATGGAATAAAAGTAATACTTATTTTTTTTTATAAGTTAATATAATATATGTATATATATATATATTATTATTTACAGTAAAATTATCACAGATATGTAAGCTAAAAATGTTGCTATTGTAAAATGCATCAATTTGCGTACATTGCACACTTAATGGCGATGACTATTTTTACTACAAATTAACGGAAAATCTATGATTAATGATAACATAGAAAATTCTAATATATCATTTAAAAAATGTTATTATTTAAAATTTTATCATTAATTGATACAACTAGATTATTGTATCGACTGGAAATCTATTTCAGCTGCCATATCTTTTTCATTATCTTCCATTTCTTTAATAACTACTTCTTCTTCTTCTTCTTCTTCTTCTTCTTCTTCATCTGAAGAATCTGATTTTATTAAACTATTAATTGAATTCATATCTTCTAAAATGGTGAAATTTTCCATCATATTTTTTTTACTTTGTGTTTCCTCAACCTGTAATTATAATTAAACACTCAATATTAGTATAAATATTTAATTGATTTAAATTAAATCAACGCTGGTGGGCTTCAATAATAATTACTATAATTTAATGAAACATTTCTATCTTATTTGGGTTTGATTAGTCAGTTGTTATGTATTATAAACATACCGTTTGTTTATCAACTTCATCAGTTTTTATTTTCTCCTTATCTGTAAGTCCAGCAGTTGCAGATTTAGTTACCATTTGTCGCTTCGGTGTCGGTTTTCTTGGTTTAAATGTGCCGGAGGCTTTTCGTGGTAACTGTGAGCTTGTATATTTTTTTGTTTCAACACTTTGATTACAGTTATTATGTGTACTTAATATATCTTTATTTTTAAATGTCTGAAAATAATAATAAATATATTCAATTAATAAAAAATAAATTTAAATTTATTTATGAAGCCTTAATAAAAAATAAAAAAAAAATGTACCTCTGAGCAAACGTCACATTTGAATATATGTTTACTCATTTCATGATGTTTTATTGCTTGAGCACGATTAAAATCACGATTGCATTGAGTACAAGTAAATCGTTTGATATTACTGTGTGTAAGAAGATGCCTTTTGAGTTTATCAGGCCGTGAAAATTCACTCATGCAACCGAGATATCCACGGAAAGGGCATTTCAATCTTTTACTAAGATCATGAATCAGCATATGACGTCCCAACCGATCTTTGCGTTTAAATCTTGCTGGGCATTGAGGACAAATAAATGGAGTTTCTTCACTATGAATAAGTTTATGATTGGCAAGATATTGCTCTGTTTTGAAAGCTTTACCACAATCTTCACAGGCAAATTTAGCTGAAGATACGTGAGTTTTGAGATGTCGCCGCAAAAATCGTTCAATGAGAAAACTTTTACCGCAATGAGGACATGCGTAATCGTGTGTCGTAGTCTCAGTGTGATGTTGAAGCGCTTCAAGATTTGAAAATGATGATTTACAAACAGTACAGCAGTAATATTTTTCAGTTGTCTTCTGTTTTTGGACGGAGTGGACATACTGATGAAGACCAAGATCTGAAAGCGTATTAAATACTTCACCACATACATGACAACGATATTCTGACCGTTTATGACTTCGTGTGTGCTCGAGAAAATCATCTAAGTCAGCAAACATCATACTACAACTGCTCTGTACGCATTTGTATACTTTCAATGTCATATGCGATACTATCAAGTGACCTTTTAGTGCTTTGTACGATTCAAATATTTCTTTGCAAAATTGGCAATGATAAGTACGATCAATACTTCCATCAGGTGGTGCCTGAAGATAAACAAAAACGAATGAATTAATTATTTTTAAATTAAAATTATTGTTGAAGAAAATATTACTATCATCAGTTCTAATTTGGGATCATTATTGGGGGTATCACAATTACCTCTGGAGGTAGCGAATGTATGGCTGTACCGGGCCATACTTTGTGCGATGACATGTGTTTTTTAACATTTGACTTCTGTGCAAACGCACGTCCGCAAACAACACACTGATAAGGCTTCTCTCCTGTATGAGAACGTTCGTGTTGCTGCCAATAAAACTTTTTAGCAAATTGTTTGTGGCAGTAATTGCACTTGTACTGTAATAATTCATCAATTAATTTACATAACTTTTAACTTTTTGTAATGAACTTAAAATTTATATTTGAGGTAAAAGACCCAGTTATTGACACTGGCCTATTAATTGACTCTTGAAATTTTATTTTAATTAAACAAATAATTCAACTCTAATAAATTGATATTAGCTATGTTTTTGAAATTAAAAGTTATACATAAATGAAGTCACCGAAAACGTAATTTCTCCTATTTTGATCATTTTGAAGAGCTACTATATCTGAACTAATCGAAGAATTTCGCTCATTTTAAGGCTCATGCAAGCTAATTGTCTAAGGAATTTGTATACTAAATTTCATTGGGATCTGTTACGAATTCTCGACAGAATAACATTCATAAGTCGGCTGCACTACACATTGCCTGAAAATGGTTCAATAGAACTCTTAACTTGTATGATAAAATAACTAAAAATGTCAATGTTGTATACGTTAAATTAAAGGCAATTTCATGAGCTTTTATATGAATTCATCAAAAATTAGCCATCTCTTCAACCAGATACAGTTATACATCAATGAAGTCACCGAAAACGTGATTTTCACTATTTTGATAATTTTGAAGAGTTGCCATTTCTAAACTTATGGATGGATTTCGCTCATCTTCGAACTCATTCAAAGTTATTATCCAAAGAATATGTGTAACAAATTTCATCTAGATCCGTCAAGAACTGTACATACATATATAAATTTTTTAACTAACGTTATTACGACAAAATTTCGAGTAAATTCCGACATGAGGACCAATGCAAAAGATTAATTTCTATGAAATCTACCTAATTATAAATTTCAATATAATTGATTTTTTTTGAGAACGTTTTATTTTTTCAATTGGAATAAAATTGCAAGTGTCAAACAACTGTACCAGTGTCAATAACTGGGTCTTTTATCTTAAATTAAAAAAAACATTTGATTTTTTTTTTTTTTCAATAGTCAATGAAGATATTATCTAATGAATATTATTTCATAGATTATTAAATCAGCTGTCAAGTACCTTTAAATTTAATGGTGGATTGGTATTATCTTGATTTTCAAAACCATCTACAATATCATCCATAATATTATTATCAATTGGCACAATTTCATTAGGAGAAACATCATAACCAACATCATCCTGACAAGCTGTGTCACTTGTTCGTGACTGGTGTACATCATTACTATCATCTTTTAGCAAATTATCATCGGATATCAATGACGGCGCTGTGAAGTTTTCAAGATTTTCAGTGTTGAGAATAATTGGTACTCCAAATTCAGCATCTGCTGTTAGATAGCTCGAGTTTTCTTGATCCATACTGAACAAAAGTAATTTAATTAGTAATTTTTAGTTTAAACTATATTTAATTTAAAATATTTTACCTGAACAACATGTCAGATTCTTCAAGTATTATCGGCTCGGTGAGTTGATTAGTTTGGATAAATGTTTCTGTTGGGTTGTACTCTGTAGTAGGATCTTGACATGGATCCTCATTGTGTACTTGTACTTGACTATTATCACTTATTAAATACTGACTTATATCAACAGTCTGTTCTTGTTTTTTTATATGCGATTTTTTGTGTAACAAAAACATATGCAACGACGTAAATTGACATTTACATTTACCACATTGAAAAATGTCCTCTTCATCTTGATCTATTCCTATATTAATATCAATTAATATTTTTAACTCAGCAGCTAAATAAAATAGATAAAAAATTTTACCTGGCTGTTCGATATCTGGCATGAGATTTTGTGATTCGAGCAATGATTGTACAGTAGAACTGTCCAAAGAGACGCCTAAGAATAAAAATAAATCATAAATATTTCATTGATGAACTTATAATAACTGTAATCAATATTTGATTAAAAATAATAAATTTAACTGTTAATATATAAAGTTAGCTAACCCTATTATTAATATTTGAAATATAAATTTACCTGATAGTGCATCAAAAATAGACTGTGCCATTTTAATATTTATTTGTTTTTCTTAACAATAATTTATCATAATAATTAATAACTAATTATTCCTATTATAATAGTATATCTTTAAAATAATAATAAAAACTATAATTTATTGCTTGGAAACATTACTAAACACTTGACAATGTTTTCACATATATATATATACTGATACTGCTACTGCGCGCTACCTTTCTATGTAATATATATATCTATACTTCTTTTTATTTTAATCTTTTTCTACCGGGCACCAGAGTGTAAAGACTCATTCTCATTTGAAAAATGTTCACTTTCCTGAAGTTGTCAACTGCTACGCGGAATTTAATTTAACTGCTTACTTCAGACTTGTTCGATATACATTGGTATATATAAATAACGGCTTAATTTTTTACTTTATTCTTGTAGAACTCCACATTTCACCGGGTTTTTTTTTTTTTATTAGCAAATCAATTTTGTAATTAAAAATTTATAAAATGCCTGGCAAACCAGACTACAAAGTTGGTAAGTTAAATAAACATAAGTATATTATTTTTTAATACTTAAATTTGACTGTTTTAGCATTATAAATAAACAATTGTACTTGGAATTTATTATTCTCCACGTGGTTAACCGGCTTTTTAAAAAAAATAATTGTTTTCTGTTTATTAATCATAATACTAGAAATAATAGGCATCTAATGATTTTTAATTGTTAAAAATTACAAATTTAATTGTTATCAAGAAACTACTTAATACAGTACCGAAAAAAATGCTAGGACATTTTGAAAAAATTTAATTTTTTTAATTTAAATTAAAAATATTTTCGATTTTATGCTACGTTAAGTCACTCTTATTTTAATTGCTGAAAAAAAAAAATTAATGCTATTATTTAATAATAAAATTTATAATTTTTTTTTTTCAGCTGATATCTCATTGGCAGAATGGGGAAGAAAAGAGATAACAATGGCAGAAAATGAAATGCCGGGATTGATGGCATTACGTAAAAAATACGGGTCAAAGAAAATATTGAAAGGAGCAAGAATAGCTGGTTGCTTGCATATGACTGTACAAACAGCAGTTCTCATTGAAACTCTGGTTGAACTAGGGGCAGAGGTAATTATCATACTCTTTATCTACTATAAAAAACTTGTTTTTCTAAATTTATCTTCTTAGTAACTAAAACTTTTATGATTATTCGGGTTATCTGTTAACCTCTTGAATTTTGTAATACAAATTGATTTTTATTTATTGCACGCCTCATAAGCGAAGCGTTGAGGTTGTGCTCTACTCTCGACATTTCAAAAAAAGCAGTTTTCTCGAAACTGAAATTGATTTTTTGTTATTTATATCGCACTTACAGGTTAATATGAGTACACTTATATCAAGTCGAATAATTTGTCAGGCACATAAAATATATTTCAATAACAATTTTTTTGTTCAACATAGTAAATAATAACATTTAACATAATTTTTTCTGGACGTCCGTGTATGGATGAGTGTATGTGGCAGGGAAATTGGTCGAAAAAATAATTATACTGGAATAATTTTTTTTTATTATCTAAA